CTGACCTTCCTAATGTTCTGAACTTGAGGAAGGAACTTTGTGAGGCACATGTATTATATGGCTTTTCTATTGAGAGTTTACATTGAAACCTTGTATATGTCCTTAAGCACATCTGAGGTTGACACTATTCCCATTTGCAGTCGCTGAGTGAATCTCAGATGCCGGATGCTCTCATTGAGAGATTGTTAGCTGGTACAAGAGAGTTTCCTCCAGTTTGTGCCATTGTTGGGGGAATCCTTGGACAGGTGATTACATAAAGAATCTCTCATATATTACATTTGCTTTTACATGTCTTTGGGTTCTGTAATCATGTGAAGGAGATTTTCTCCACAGGAAGTCATTAAAGCAATATGTGGCAAAGGCGATCCAATAAAGAATTTCTTCTTTTTCGACGCCATGGATGGTAAAGGCATAATAGAGGATATAGCAAAGAGAAATAATGAGGCCGAGCAGTTCCAAATTGGATGTTTAGAAGGTTGTCTAGAAGTGGACTAATTCTAGGGTAACCTGACCTTTTTAACCTATTTTTTTGGGGACCGGACTATACGCTGATCATTGAATGACAAGATTTCCGATCGAAGCATGGCGTTATCCCAGCTTTTACTTGTGATCATGTACGATGGTGTAAAAAATTTCAGATTTTCTAAAATGTGGCAGAAGACTGAGTTGTTGAACTTCGATTTCATGGAGGATTGTAAAGGACATAAAAAATGTCTGGGCTTTGTTGCCTGTTTATCTTGAAGGTTCCTTCTGGATGCAGCAAAGCATTGTGGTTTTTGAGAAATTACTGCAGTAAAGGTAATGGGCAGGGTTTGAGAAATCTCTGTCAAATGTTGTTCAGCCATGTTTGTTTTAACCTTAATGTGGATACCCTCATTTCAAAGTAATATTGAAAGATTATCTTGTGGTTTTACTTGTTCCTTTGTGCGTTAGGCTTTCAAGCTAACACAAACCAACTAAAGCTACTATACTCTGTTTTTTGTTTGGTTCCCCAATGCAAAGGAAAGAAGGTTAATTGAAGAAATTGAGGAAAGCAGGTTAATTCCCCATATAAAAGAAGGATTAATCTTTCCTATATCGGTATATATTGTTTGGATGAATAATAAATATGTAAAATTTAAATTTAAAATTTAATTTTTGCACATATGTTATAGATTTAACGGTGATAATATATATATATTATTGATATATATAAGATTTACTCATAAAAGAAATTGACGCGTATGGTAGAGTAAACCGTCAGAGTCAGCTTGAACATGAATATTACATAACAATAAAGCAACCGTAAATTTTCCCAATTTTTGTAGAGAGTAAAATAGGACTCAATATTGAACCTACCCTTGGATGACCGACAACCAAATGTGTATGGTAGTTAAAGTACAATCAAAATCTTTTTCTTCCTAACGACTAACAGTCAAATGCATGTGTACAAGGAAAATACAATTAGCACCCTTCTACTGAAATCTGCTAGTCTATACATATTGACAATATCTAACTCTTTTAATACTATGACCATAGGTACTTGGGGACTTAAGAACTAGACGCGTCAAAATGGGTGATTCGGGTGAATTTGGATGGATTATAACTGAATAATGAGTATAATTAGATCAATCCATTTCTATCTATTTAAATAAATGAGTATAAATGGGTACAAATTTATACCTATTTAATAAATGGGTATGGGTATATTCAATTACCTATTTATGAGTCATTTAAAATTTTACTTATTTTTTAAAATATTTTTTCACATGTTATTTAATGAGAAATAACGGTATTTTATTATTATTATAGTGATAAGAAATTTAAATTTATTTGCTCAATACTCATTAAAAGTTGAGTTTAAATGTATAATTATTTTTTAAAATGGATATAAATGGATGATCCAAGTCAACCCATTACTCATCAATTAAATGAGTTTAATTTGACACTCATTTAGACCCATTCAAAATTAATTAGTAGGCTTGGATGGGTTATTAGTGGGTGGGTTTGAGCCTATCAACACAATTGAATTGTAATCGACACCTCTATCAAGAAACAACAAGTACACAATGAAACCCTTGAAGTACTGTGAATAAAATATTAAAATTTAACCAAATATATGGTCCCTTATGGTTACACTTTCTTGTCTTTTTGATTCTGCAATAAAGAAGGAGGAATTGCTCTTTTTTTTTTTTTTGGGCTCTAAAGAACCTTCATGTTTCATATTAATTTGCATTTATCTTGACAAAATCAAGGGATTTCTTTCCTTCAAGAGCATGTCCAAAAAAAATTCCTCATGTACTCTTCAAATATTACTTCTCTGTAGAGAGAGCTCCACCATTAAGTTCTGCCAAATGAGGTAGATGACCTATATCTTGGACAATTGAAAATTGGAATAGACACTGGAGATGGTGCTCAACGCTTCTGTTCCTTCAATTGCTCAGGATCTACGATGCAGTGGTGTAAATTGATGGAATTTTCATGTAAACTGTTAAAATTTTGGTATAAACATGAATTATAGCTAAGTTGATATAAAACTCATGATTACATCAAAATAATATATATGTTTGTTTGGAAAGCAATTTTTCAAAGAAAAATTGTTACGTGAACACATTTTTCAATCACCTTTTTATCTCACATATATTAAATCGCTACAGTATTTTTCTACACAAAATCCAAAAAAAATGCAATCCAAACAAAGCAACTGAAATTGTACCAATTTATACAACTGAATAGAACTGGGCAGAACCTTAAACGGAGAGCCCCAGATCCCAAGCCAACATGTTTTCTTGAAATGAGTTTTGATGTCTGTGCATATTGTTCTGTGGTAGTATTAGCATTAGAAGTGGCAATTTGGATTGAGATCCATTTATCCATCCATATAATCCATAATTAAATGGATAATGGATTATCCATTTATAGTATTGGTTTTAAATGGTTGATCAAAGTAAAACCATTAAATTAAATGGATTTATATGGATTATCCACAAAAACCATATATATCCATTTACTTAAAAACCAAATAAAAGAGAGGGAAAGGAAATGACTAAAAAAGGAGTCATCCTAAAATTGCAGTTGGGGTGTGAAAAAGCCATCCCCGTGAATGGTAACCAACCCTGAAACTGAATGTTGGGGTTTACTGCTGAACAAATTAATCATTCCTTTGTTTCTTCTTCTAGACTCCACAGTACCTGGGATTTCGATTGGCTTTGAAGAGGTCAGGACAAAGGGAACATGCCCTGCTTGGTACACCCATGCACCTGATTACTAGATGTTGAGCTCAAAAGTCATCCGTGGCTTTAGTAGTAGACATTGCAAGTGTTGTGTGAGTACGAATAAAAGCCAGTGTTGGTATTTTTGTAGATACCCTACATACGGTCTATGCAGGACTTCTATTGTTTGGGCTAGTTTGCAATATATGGCTACTCTGTAATATGTAATATATATATATACATATATATATAATAATAATAATTTCAGATAGTTTTTTAGTGAAATGAAGGTTCCTTTTGCTTGAATTTACATCCGTGGTATTTTGTGGCTTGAATTTACAAGAAATGGTAATACAAAAAAAAAGTAACAAAAATATTTAAATGGATTATAAATGGATAATTGGTTTTTATTTAATCCATTTAGATCCATCCATTTAGATCCATTTATTAAATGGATCTAAATGGATTGGATAAATTTCATCCACTATCCATTAAGTCAAAACCAATTATGAACCATTTATCCATATTGCCACCTCTAATTAGCATGGTGTAGTAATCATTGTCTTGTTCATTTCACTGCTGCCAACAGTTTACCCATCTTTTTTCTTCTGGCTTAATGTGAGCCAATTTTTTCTACACCTATTAATTTCTTATCAAAACGGGGCAACAATTTTCATACCCGTATAGAGCTCAATAAAGGGCAGTTTCAAAACTATTCTTTCTTTAATTACTGGTCCCATGAAGTGATAAAGCATACATACAGGTTTTCCCCCTAACAAAGCTAGTCAAGTTATTCATTATTTGTCTCGTACCAAGTTCTCCAAAAGAGCTATCTAGCATAGCATGAAGAATAGTTCAAAACAACATTAAAACCTAACCAAAGTGTGGTCGTTGAATGTCTTTCAACAATCAAGATAAACTGCATTTTCTTTTTTTTTTCTTCTTTTTTTGCTAAATTATAAACTAATAATTATGCTGTAAATTAAGAAGCTCCATGCTTCATGTTAATTGGCTTTTATTTTGACAAGATCAAGGCATTTCTCTCCTTAAGGAGTATGTCCGAAAAAATTGTCCATGTACTCTTGAAATATAACTTCTCACTTCTCGGTAGAGAGCTCCACCACCAAGCTCTGCCAAATGAGGCAGCGGACCTAACTTCTCGGTCGGCCTTGGAGCAGTGAAAACTGGAATAGAAACTCTTGATTGTTTGCATGAGGTACGCACTCTGTGCTCAGTAGGGGTGTGCAAAATCGAAAAATTCCGATTTACCGACCGAATTCGAATTGAATTCGGAATTTTCGAAATCGGTAAATCGGAAATCGGAATCGAATTCGGATTTTCCGAATTCATATATTTCGAATTTGGTTCGAATTCGGTAATGGAGTTTTTCAAATCGGAATTTCCGATTTCGAATTCACAATTCGAAATCGGAATTCGAATTCCGATTTCGATTTCAAATTCGTTTTTAATATATAAATATATTTTTTATACATGTAATATAAAATTTATACTATATAATATAATATAAAATTTATAAAATTTATATAATATAATATAATATAATATAAAATTTATATAATATTATATATTATTATAAATTTTATATTATATAATAATATATAAATTTTTCCGAATTCGGTGAAATCGGTGAAATCGGAATTTACCGAATTCCGAATTGAATTCGGTATGAATTCGAATTCGGAATTGGTGAATTCGAAATCGAATTCGGTCGAATTACCAGGTACCAAAATTTCGAAAAATTCCGAATTCAAACTTCCGAATTACCGAATTCGAATTCGATGCACACCCCTAGTGCTCAGCACTTTTGTACCTTCTATTGCTTAGGATCTAAGGGGTAGCAAAAAATAAGAAGGTAAAAAGGAGGAAATAAACAACTAAGGCAAATTAAGCAAATAAATAAATTATGGGTCTGGTTTTGATCAAGCAAATAAATAAATAACTAAGGCGCTGTTTCGATTGAAGGAAAAGGAAGGAAAGAAAAGGACGGGACTCTAGTGAAAAAGAAAAAAAAGAAAAGTAGAAGAAATTTAAATTCATCCATCTTTTTTGCATTACAAAAGTAAATTGTCAATGGGGTTAGATCAATCCAAACTCAGCCCATTCGGCCGTTGGTCTGGCACAAAAAAAGCTCATTGAGCCTAATCTTTAATTGTGTCAGGCAAAGTTTGGGCCTAAATATTAGGCTCAAAATAAATGTGAGTCGAGTTTGGACCATATTAGGTTCAAACCCGATTAAAATTTGGCCATATATACGCATAAGTATATATAATATAATAATATATATAATTTATAATTATACATATTATGATATAAAATGTTAATGATTTATATATATTTGTGTTAATTCATAACTATAAAATATATATTATATATAATTATTATTTATTTAATTATGAGTTTGGGTCAAGTCTGGTTTGAGTCTGAAGCTAATATAGTAGTATGAATTGATATTGAATCTTTTCAATATAAGCCTGAAACTCAAAAACCCGAATCTTAAAAAGCCATATAATTTGTTAGTCGAGTTTGAATGTGCTAAAATCAATGTTTTGAAACTTGGACCATTAATTGAACGAGTGTGGTGTTTGGGTCGTGGTTCAACTGGTCAGATCAGTTCAACCCTGGTTCAATGAATTTTTTAAAAATAATTTATATAAATATATATGCACAAAATAAGACATGCAATGGAATAATTTAAGACTGTATATGATGAAAAGTTTAATATTTTCAAAGAATTTGGATTTTCACAAATAAAAATTTTAAATTATAAATTGAAACAAATAAATTTCATCTCATTCTCAATTGTATCTACCAAAAAAAATCTTAAATCCAACACAAAAATACCATGCAAAATTCACGTCCATAAGAATTAGACATTGTGAGTTTAAATTTTTAACTCATGTTTTTGGGATTTAAAGATTGCAACTTAAAAAAAAAAAAAAAAGAAGTTTGAAGTTTGGAGAAAGTCAAGAAAATAGAAAATATAGATGCAAACTTGATAAGAGGCAAAAAATGAGAAGAAAGTAAGTGGATGTGGCATTTAATAATTAGTCTTTAGGGTTAAAAAAACCTATTCTTTTTTTTTTTTTCAATTTAATAGACAAACAAAAAAAACCCCTAGTTCAACGGTTCAATTTGGTTCGTATGGTTCACGGTTTTTAAGTCCAATCAACCCAAGATATGAATCGGACCGAAATTACGACCGGTTCAAGGTCTGACCGATCGAACTGACCGGTCCGGTTCAATTTTAAAAAATATTGGCTAAAATCTGATTCGAAAAACCCACTTTACACCTCTATTTAAAATGTCTAATTTGTAAACACATAATAGGTTTTTTAGGAAAATTGAAAATTTTCATTAATCTTGGTATCATTTCCCTCCGTTTCCACCCACTTTTGAATGAAAAGCAGAATGACAAAAAATAACTAAACTTTATCCCTCATTTTCCTCTCAATCCTTTCCTTTCCCTCCTCAAAAATCAATCCAAACATCAAAAACCTTATTCCTCCATTTTCTTTCCCTTCCCTTCCCTCCCCTCCAACTCCCTCAAAACAAACAGTGCCTAAACAAAAATTTCAGTTTTTTACATTTTAATGAAATTTATATCATAATAACAAGCAAACATAAGAGTAATACTAAAATAGTTAATTGTGCAAACATACGTGTTCAGTTGATCCAGGCAAACAGCCAACTTAACCTAATGCAAACATATGAGTAATAAAATAGTTCATTGTGCTAACGTATCTGATCAGTTGATCCAGACAAACAGCCAACTTAACCTAATTAGGTAATTGGGCAACAGAACTTTTTGTGAATTGTATTAACTTCACTCGCTCAAAGAAACAATAAATATGGTCATTGAGTACGAACTAACCTCTAATGAATCCCCAACATTAATAACTAAAGCACTTGGGATTGGTGGAATCTCTATCCACTCTTCTTTTCTGCTATCAAGTTTATATTCTTCAACCTTTATATATAAACCTCCAGCATTATCTTGCAAAAGCACAGTCAAGGTGCCCATATCAGAGTGGCGCCCTGCACCAACAGTGAGTTCTGGATTTCGGCAAATTGGATAGAAGTTGATATTGACATTTTTCATGCCAATTAGTGATTCGAGTCTTGAGTCATCAAGGGTCACTCTAAGATTTGCAATTAAGATTTCCAACAGCCTTCTCACCATCTTAGAGGATAGCTTCAAGTAAGCAAGTGCCTCTTCCCTGAGGAAATAAATGCTAAGGCAAAAAGACTAGCATCCTTAACGGGTGATAGGGAATTAAAGATTGACTATGGATAAAAAATGTGTATGGTTAATCATTTTTTTGGACCTCTTTTAGTAACTAAAATCACTCTGATATTACTAAAATTGGTAGCATGTAAAATCCATGATTATATTGACTATACATAGATCTGATTAGTACGTGAGTCCTAGCATTTTAATTTATCTAAGATCAATTCAAAGTGGATCTATCATTGACACGCGACTTCTTAACAATAGTGTTTCGACTGGTAGTTTATAGCAAGGTTTTCAGTATCGATTAAAATCGCACCCAAGACTGTTTTGAGGTTTATTAGAGGGGCAAATTATCCAATTGACCCTTTAACTCTTTGTCTAGGTAAAATTAAGCCCCTCACCTATTTTTTGCTGACTTTAAGCCCTCGAACTTGTAAAATGGGGAACCCGTGACCCTTTCAGCCAGTTTCTCCGGTTTTGCAACTGGAGGACCAATTCACACGAACGCCAGTGTGCTTCTTTCAATGGCATTTTTGTCCTCATATTCTAAGCAAAAAGGGCACACATAGTCCATCTTTCTATTTGATTTCCCTCACTTCCCTTACTCTTCCCTGCGCAACCCCCATGCAATCCCATGGCCGTCTCTGTCGCCACCGCAGCAGCCGCGGCCTCCCAGAAGCTCTCTCCGCTTACAACTAGGGGTGGCAATCGGGTCGGGTTCGGGTTGAGGCCTAAATATAACAAAGAACCTGCTGACCCGAACCCGACCCGCCAACCCGAAACGGGTCAGGGTACCTGACACGAACCTGAAAATTTCGAGTTGGCGGGTTGGCGGGTCGACCCGAAATGACCTGAAACTTAATTTTAATTTATTAATTTATCATTGTAATTTCTAATAAAATCAATTTTTCACAAAATTAATTACATCATCAAGTAATAAAAATTTAAATAAATAATTTCAAACCAAATCTAAAATAAATTAAACACCATAAAGTATTTTATCCCAAACCAAATATAAAATAAATTAAAACAACATAAAAGTAAAAAATAACATAATATATTATTTGTCCAAATACAATAATTTTAACTTCACACAAGTTAAATAAATTCATTTAGGATTAAGTAATTAATGCCTTTGGAAAAAAGAATGATTTAGTTTAGTTAGATAAAATAATTTTTATGTTTATTAAATTAGTTTTAATTCGTAAACGGGTCACATCGGGTCATATCAGGTCACCACGAGTTGACCCGAAATTGACCTGTTTTCTTTTCGGGTTCATCGGGTTCGACCCGATTCTGACCCGAACTCCCGAAACCTCAACCCAAACCCATTAATTTCGTGTTAGGTTCGTGTCGTGTTTTCGAGTCGTGTCAGGAATTGCCACCAGTAACTTACAACCCCTCCTCATGACAAGCCCTTCTGCTCTTCCTTCTCAAAAACCCTCCTAAAACCCTGCCACCCCGTCACCCACACCCGCAAAGTCCACTGGACCAGTGTCTCGGCCGCTTCCAAGAATCATATCTCCGACGTCGTCTCCGATGTCTCCGACGATTATGACGACAAACCCAGAGAGGAGTGAGGCGTGGTGGGCGTCTATGGTGACCCCGAAGCTTCTCGCCTGTGCTATTTAGCCCTCCACGCAGTCCAGCACCGCGGCCAAGAAGGCGCCGGCATCGTCTCCGTCCATGACAACGTCCTCAAATCGATTACTGGAGTTGGTTTGGTTTCTGATGTCTTTAACGAGTCCAAGCTTGCATCTTTGAGGATATTGGTTTGGTTTCTGATGTCTTTAATGCCTGATGAGGTATTGGTTGTGGATAAAGACGGGGTTGGACCCCTTTGTCTGATGTCTCATCCGGAGCCTAAGTCTTGCATCTTTGAGAATATTTATTTTTCTTTACCCAATTCAGTAGTTTTTGGGAAGTCCGTTTACGAGTCTAGGCGGGCATTTGGGGAAATTTTGGCCACTGTATTCCCCGTTGATTTCTAAGCCAGTGGAGGGAAGGTGGACTATGTGTGCCTTTTTTGCTTAGAATATGAGGACAAAAATGCCCTTGAAAGAAGCACACTAGCGTTCGTGTGAATTGGTCCTCCGGTTGCAAAACCGGAGAAACTTGCTAAAAGGGCCACGGATTTCCCATTTTACAAGTTCAAGGGCTTAAAGTCAGCAAAAAATAGACGAGGGGCTTAATTTTACCTAGACAAAGAGTTAAAGGGCCAATTGGATAATTTGCCCTTACTAGAGTGGAGCATAATATCATAAGCTCCTACCATAAGTACAAAAAATTAGCCATATAAACAAGTGCATTCAAAATAATTGAGCCAACTAAGGCCAATAATGTGATATATGAAGTGTGAAACTTAAAATTGAAGTGGCAATATAATGAACTTGTGAATTGGCAACCATTTCAGCCTTTCTCATCCCAGATTCCTTGGCATCCTTCTTCCTTTAGGCAACGTTTTCATAGATACTTCCACCAAAAAGGGTTAGCTCTTGGCTGACCAGTGCAGTATGTGTCCTCAAGGTCCCCAAATTGAAGTCTTTTTTAAGTTCAGCAATATTTTGTGTGTTTGGTAATTAGTATTTTGATTTGGTTCCTTTTGAATTTTCCAAGGCAACTTTTCTTAGATCAATGCTCGAGCCGTTTGATCATATTGAATAATTCTAAAAGGACAGCCACATCTACATTGTATCTTATATTTTGTGAAATTCAAAACTAAAAGTGTTTTTTGCGCTCAACCAAGTGTGTTGATGAAATTGAAGAAAAATGATTAATGGCAGGTAGGACTTCCCTTCCAAATTCTCAACTCTCAAGGAATAAAATTATAGTCATTGCGAGTGTCCTTATTCACTTATCATGTGATCACACATTGGATTTTGATACTTATTGGCTTCTTCCTTGGAAATTAATGTATCTTGACTAAGGCATTAATTAATTATCACTTTACCCCCTTAAACCGTATTACTGCTATAAAATAAAAGGATATGTTTGTCCAAATTTATTGACATGTTGAGTTGAATTATCGATGGGAGTGAAGTGACTAAAAAATAATGTTAAGGGTACAATTGATAATAGTGATATTAAGAATCTTCTCCTGTAATTAAGAAATAAAGAAATGAAAGTGATTGATCATATCTTCATCTCATATAGAAATATAGAAATTAATATACCTCGGTGACTCTTCGCTTGGCTACTTTTTTTTTTTTTCTTTTTGGTGCCTAATAAAATTTCTATTAGAGTTTCCTATAAATTAGCCTAGGATTCTGAAGTGAGTTTGAATTGCCTGCTGATAGTCCACATTATAACCTTATGATTGATCACAGGACTCATGCGAACTTCGATGGAACTACAGACTGAAATGTCTGTGTTTTCCTAACACTGTATAAACACAGATGCATATTGCTTTTGGAAGACTTTTCCTCCTTAAGAGGACAATTTTTCACCATATCAATTAGTTGCAAGCACATATCATTGTTTCCAGCACGTTCCAACACAAGAGTATAAGGCTCTCCTTGTCTACAATGTTGATACAGACATTGCAATAAATATTTGACAATGAGAAAAAAAATTCATATCAATAGAAAAAAAAGGTGATTCTCTCTCCATAATCACCACCACAACCACCACCAACGTGCGTGTTCTTACCTTTGCTAAACTACTGCTTCCTCCCATATTCTCTGATACAGAACAGGAGTCGTTTGTATCTCGAGAAATTATTTAGGGTTCTGATTTAGGATAAATTTTATAGTTTTATCCATAGTTTTATTCATAGTTTTAATTGATAATTTTATTATTATTGTTGGTTGTAATTGAAACACGCGACCTGGTGGCAAAAGAAAAATGTTCGAAGGCCTGTTTACCGAGGATCTGGAGACGGATCCTTCAGTAAAGCCTCACGGATCTGCCTGCAGGTCTAGTCCTGAGGTTGGTTCCAATGACATCTGATGCCAGACTTTAAGCTGGACTTTAGGCCGGACTTCTGTCTGATCTTTTGCGATTGCTTGGCGCAAGTTTAGTTTATCTAGGATTTTTTTCTTGTGTTTTTGTTTCCTTTTTAGTGTAGGACTGTTTAGCCTATAAATATGTATATCAAGGGTTTTTTTTTTTTTTATAATTAGTCTTTATCAATTATTATACCAAACTTGGTTGGTTTTTATCAATTGTTGAGAGTTTTTTTCTCATTTTTTTGAATCTTTAATTCGTGTCTCAGGATTTGATCATGAATCAACCCTTATTATTTTGTATGGTATGAACTTAGCTCTTAAAATAAATTCTATTTTCACCCTTCCACTACAGCATCATTCTCTGATCCCTCATCATCATCATTCCTTCCCCTCCATAAACTTGAAGCTATGGGAATTGTATATGATCTCAATCCAAGTGACACTTTGCATAACCTGATTTTTTAGACGCAAGTGGATCGTGCTTTAACTCTGCTGATTTGAGCTGTCCATGTCCGTGTGTGCCATCTTGAGAATTTCTATTTTCTACTCCATTCGTGTCCTTCATGCTGCTGCATTTGTATTCTTCGTAAGTTGCAATTGAGAAGTATTTCAATGATAACCGATAAACCTATATATTTTGTTCACCACATCGAAACATGTCCAATGTACAACAGATAAGTTCTTTTAGTACTCCTCCTATCCAAACATTTCCTCGACAGCTCTTTTAAGCATCAATGGAAGATAGTGAGAAAGGAACTGGTCAAGGCAGCCGAGCGTATTTGCCCTATCTCAGGCTTACACAATAATACCAATCCTGAAGCTATGCAGGAATGTAGGACAAAACTAGGTATGTAGTACTGAAAAAATGGAGTGTGCAGCGCACATAACCCTGATCTTCAGATTCTTGTTCTTGTCCATATATGCTCTTATTCGCAAGTTTGATCTCCCCAGAGCAAAAAGTTCCTCCAAGAGTAGCCCCAGGAAAATTCTCCAAGAAAGGTGCGCTATCCACATTAGAACGTCCAAAAAATGATGTACCACGACCACAGCAAGCAAATATCAAACCACCAAAGACTGACTTCTTATTGGTATTAGCAACACTTCCATTGCATTGTTGATTAGACATGTGGTCGTATTCATGCTTCAGACGTCTGAAGTACTCAGTAACATTGGCACTAGAACTCAAGGTAGCATCAGAATCTGAAACATAGAAACGGAAGGAGTCTCCAGTTCTGATACCTAAGTCATTGACATACAGGTACTCTTCATCCCCACTGCAAAAAGAGAGCCATTGTTCATACCTCCAATAAACCATAAAAAGGGAGACAGTGCAAATGACAAAGTGAGCTTAAACACAAGTCATTAGCATTCCTAACAAGACGAGAAACACAAAATGAATAAGCACAAGTAGCCTATATCCCAAGAAATCCATACCATTAATACCTCAAGGCACTCATTAGAAATAATTAGTACAAATAGATGCATAATTAATAAAATATCCCATTCCCGGCTCATCCCACCCAACCTTTCTCTACACTGACAGCCCAGCCTAACCCAATAAACTATCCACTACCCAAATTTCACAAAGTCATTCAATATACAACTAGACAAATAAGTAACATAAATAAAATTTTAAAACTGAGTTCAAGCATCTAACTCTCATAACATTACCAAGTTGAACAGATTAAGTTTCAAACCATTGTAATCCGACAGTATTCAACACTTCTGTCAACATTCCTGAGGCAATCAATGCATCCACAGGAAATGACTGGGCAAAAGCAAAATCAACCAACAAAATGCATAACTCACCCTATTACTTCATGAAATTCAAGAAACATCATCCATCTTGCTTTGTCCAATCCAACGGAGCATTTTCGTCTTTTGTTAACCCCAATGTAGAGAGCTAGATGTTGGATACGATCTCCAATCTGCTAGAAAGGATTTGGTTTAGGGAAAGCAGATTCCATATTTCAACTCCTACCAATCTATATGCTGTTAGGCTGAACAAAGTAAATTAAGATGCAGGAAAAGTCTTCTGCTGAATCCTGAGTCAAGAGAGAACCAGAATCATAGCATCCACCTAGATGCTATGTTGAGCATTAAAAGAATGATCAATAAAGATTGCAAACTTAGCTTTTCAACAATAGAGTAACTATTGGATCAGAACTTCAACGATTTCAACAATAAAGAATATTATCTGAGAAGAAAAACCAATATAGTCATTGCTTCAACCAAACATATTCAGGAAGAGTCGAATGCGAAGAGTTAAGATCTTGCTTACGGACCCAAAAACCAAAAATTATATCAAAGAACACAATGAAGAAATCCAAAACTTGAAACCATATTCATGCTGCTTCTACCAAGAAAAAAGCAGCAAAGTTAAACTTGATAAAGGCATCTTTTGAAACTAAAATGACTCAGTGATCACCACCCATCTTTCTCTCCAATGTACAGTCATGCCCTTACTTAAACAGACTGACCACATCTTTCGTAATTATGTGGTATGCTACCTCATCATCCTTACCCTAAGCACAATCACTAATTCTGTCAAATAGATTAAATCACATTATGGA